TTCCAGAAGATGGGAGACATGGCATCACACTGGTCAGGGCATTTTGATACCTTTTGGAGTGAATTAACTGATTATTTGAATTTGGATGGTGTGATCAGACCCTTATTTAGGATAAACAACAATCCTCTGAATGATGATGGGTCATTGTCTTTTCACAAAGAAGATAAATTTATGCAGCATCTCAGATGTTTGGTACAGGTTGTGTGGGTGACGCAGAATGTTATTGCATTGATTGTCAGCCTTGGGGTAAGTTTGATCCTTCCTGAGTTCTAGGCTTTTGGTACAACGTAAGAGTGGCACGAGATTCGTTTACAGTTTAGGCAGTGAGCTGTTAAATTCTGGAATGCATTGCCTGAAAAGCCAGTGAGAAAAAAAAACTTCAACAGTGATTTTCAAGAGGTATATATTATTGAAATGGAAAATTTTGCAGGGATCTACGGAAAGAACAGGAGCGGAGGACTACAGTAGATAGCACAGATGTGATGAGTGAATGGCCTCCAAATCTACAGCAATAGCCTGTGATTCTATGATCATTGCTAAGCAGATTAGCGTAGTTTGCTAATGATTTTCCACATGGGAATTTCAGGGCTCATTTCACATTCTCTGTAAAGATGTCCATGATCTCGCTTTCCCTGCTATCTCTATTTGGACAGAAACATTGAAGTGCACAGTTACATTGATCAACCATCCACCATTTATTGTGGTAAGGTGCCAATTTACCCACTCAGCATATGCTCAGCTCTTCAATTGAGTATTAATCGTTCAAAGTTAGCAACATTCTGTTCTCTTGGCAGTGTGCAGCAAAGTGAAACCAGTGAAAATAAAACCCACTCTTCTTTAGTTTCAGATGAGCCATTTCAGTAAGTTAAGAATTAGTGATCCCAAATTAGGACATTACCCTTATGCTCAGCGAACAGATAGAGTGGTTGTTTCAATCCTCCACATCAAAGTGAGCCTGCTAATGAGGGTACTGGTGTTAACAGAAACATGGCTGTAACCAATAGATGCATAAAGACAAGAACTGCAAAGATGTACATTCCAACAAACTAGGGACTGAAACCTAATTTTCACCTGCAAGCATGAAAACAGGCAGATATCACCTTAAATTAAGGTGTTGTACCATCGACAGAGTGCCCATTGATGCCCCCTTCCTACTACTCTTATCCTGACTACAGTTGTATGAAGCTGGGGGTGTGTGTAAGTGTCGGGTGGGCTGACCATCACTAGCCTAACTAAGGCCACTATGCCACCGCTTCTCTGAGTAAACAAAGGCTGGCACTCAAGTTTGGCAGGCTTCACCCCAGGCATTCTCAAATGGAATCGGGCTCATACCTTTACTCCAGAATACCACATACCTGTTCCTGCTGACCAGTGAAGAAGGAGGTGGGTGTGGAGGTAGATGGGTGTCTCTTGCCACATGCCTATTGCCCATTGGAGGTTCTACCCCACGGTTATCCTCGCCTCCCCTCATGTCCATCCTCCCACCATGCTTTGCCCAACATGGCCTCTACCGACTCGTGCCCTGTCAGCCTGGCAACAGTCAAACCCTGGACGTAGCTGAACGTCCAGGGTTCATTGCTTAATGTCACCTCCCAGGTCTACTTGCAGTGCCCCCTACGCCTGCTGCTGGGCAGAACTGCTGACCTCCAGTTGGCCACCTCTTTGAGGTTGAACTTCCTCCTGTCAGTGGACTGACATCCCACCTCCAACCAACGAAAAGGGGTACTTCCCCAGGAATTATAGTGGAATGAGATGAGCAAGCAGAAATTTAGGCTGGGGTGCGGGCATCCTGCCCTCAGTCCTACGAGTTTTGTTATTTGTAGGCGGTGAAATAAAATGGGGCATGACAGCAGTGCAAAGCATTTCTCATTAATGTTACAGAGAAGAAGAGAGAAATCAGTTGCATTTATATAGTTACTTAGAACCTCAGGATGATCCAAAGTGCTTTATAGACAATTCGATACTTTTTGGAGTCTAACTACTGGTGTAATTTTGGACAACCAATTGCCATGCAGTTGAGTATCTCATAGCAACATGACAGCGATCAGATTAGTTCAGTTGGCTGGATGGCTGGTTTGCGATGCAACGTGTTGCCAACGGAATGGGTTAAATTCCCTCACCAGATTACCATGAAGACTCTCTTTCTCAAACTCTGTCTTTGCCTGAAGTATGGTCCCTCAGGTTAAGCTGCTACAAGTTACCTTTAGAGTAATTTTGGTTGAAGGATAAGAACTGGACGAGGCATGAAGGAGAATCTTCCTGTTCTTTATCCAAGTGATGCCATGGGATCTTCGACACCCACCAGAGAGAACAGATGGGGCCTTGGTTGAGCGCAAATTTGGCAGCACCAACATTGGCGTACTGCACTTGAATGTCAGTCTAAATATTATACCCAATATGAATGAACTGAGAGTCACTGTCCATGATACCAAGGCAGCATATGACTGAGTGTAACATCAGGAAGCCCTTGTGAATATAAACTCAATGGCAATCAGGTGGAAAACTCTATTATGGTTGGAGACTTACCTAAAACAAGGGAAGATGAAATGGCTGTTGGAGGTCAGTCATCTAATTCTCAGCACATCTCAGCAGGGGACACTGATGTCCTAGGTCTAACCATTTGCAGTTGTTTTATCAATAACTTTCTCCGAAATGGGCATGCTCACTAATGATTGCATAAAGCTCTTCGCAATTCCGTAGATACTGAAGCAACCCATGTCCCGATAAGACAGTAACATGGAGGAGTAGAACTAAGTCATTCAGCCCGTTGAGTCTGCTCCACCATTCAATGACATCATGCCTGATCTGATAATCCTCTCCTCCATTTTCCTACCTTTTCCTCATAATCCTTGATTTCCTTACTGATTAAAAACGGGTCTATCTCAGCCTTGAATATACTTAATGACCCAGCATCAACAACCTTCTGTGGTACAGAATTCAACAGATTCACCACCCTCAGAGGGAAGAAATTCTTCCTCATCGCTGCCTTAAGTGTGTGATCACTTATTCTGAGATTATGCCTTCTGGTGCCAGACTCTCCTACAAGGGGAAACAACTTTTCCGCATCTACCCCATCAAGTCCCCTAAGAATCTGATATATTTCAATAAGGTCGCCAGTCATTTTGCTACATTCCAACGAGTACTGGCCTAATCTCCTCAACCTCTCCTCATAAGACAGTTCCTCCATACCTGGTATCAGTTAAACAAACCTTCTCTGGACTGCTTCTGATGCCAGCATATCTTTCCTTTGACGAGGAAGCCAAAACATTCAAAGTATTCCAGCTTTAATCTCACTAGTGCCTCATATAGTTTTAGCATTGCACCCCTACTCGTAGACTCCATTCTCTTTGAAATAAAAGCCAACATTTCATTTGCCTTCCCTATTATTCATTGAACTTGGATGCTAGCTTTGTCTGATTTATGCAAGTGAGCTTCCAAATCCCTCTGTTCTATAGCTTTCTGCAGCCTTTCTCCATTTCAATAATATGCACTCCTCTATTCTTCCTGAAAAAATGCATAACCTCACTTCCCCCCCATTATATTCCATCTGCCAAGTTTTTGCCTATTCACTTGTCCTATCTATATCCCTCTACGGATCCTTTGTGTCATCATCACCATTTACCTTCCCGCTTATTTTTGTGTGATTCACAAACTTGGCCATAGCACATTCACTTTCTTCATTCAAATAATTGTGGACCCAATACTGATCTCTGTGGCATTCCACTAAATTACAGGTTGCCATCCTTACGATACCCGCCTTATCCCAACTCTGTCTTCTGTGAGTCAGCCAATCCTCTATCCTTGTTAATATACATGCCCAACGCCATCTTATTAACTAGCATAATGTTGGTACCTTATCAAACATCCAGTGAAAATCAAAACGTTTTGCATCCACTGTAAATAACGAGAGAGCATGATTGTAAAGTGAAAGGCAGAAGGTTTAGAGGGAATTTGAGGAAAAATGTTTTCACCCAGAAGGGAGTGAGAGGCTGGAATGCACTGCCCAGGTGGATAGTTGGGACAAGAAACCTCCCAATCTTTACAAAGTACCTGGATGAGCCCTTGAAGTCTATGTGCTAAGTGCAGGAATTTGGGATTACCTTAAGTCATAGTTTGTTTTTGGAGGTACAGACTTGACGGGCAAAAGGGCTTCTTCTCGACTGTAAGATTCTATGCTTCCACTTTATCGATGATGCTTGTTACTTCATCAAAGAATTCTAGTAAATTTTTCAGGCATGATTTCCCCTTCATGAATATATGCTGACCCTGCTTGAACATATTATTTCTAAATGCTCTGCTATTACATCCTTACACATAGAGAGGAGCTGGTAGTGTCGTGCTAATGTCACTGGATAAATAATCCAGAACCACAGGCTAATGTTCTAGGGATATCACTTTGAATCCCATCCCAAGAGGTGATGAAATTTGAATTTAACAAAAATCTGTATTGAAAAGCAGTCTGAGTTGTTTAAAAACCCATCTCCTTCACTAATGTCCTTTAGGGAAGGAAAGCTGCTTTTCTTACCTGGTCCGGGCTACATAATACTCCAGACCCACAGCAATGTGGTTGACTCTTAATTGCTCTTTGGACAATTAACATTGGGTAATAATTGCTGGCTTAGCCACACATTCCAGGAAACAATTTTATGAAAATCAAGTCTCTGAAGTTGGACTTGAACCTACAAATTTCTGATTTGGAGATAAGAGCCTGAATGACGACCGAACTGACAGTCAAAATTGTTAGTGACAAAAGCAATAATAAAAATCTAGAGCTGGTAGCAGGTTCTCACCTCATATAACCTGATAACATACACTTTGAGCAAGTTGGATAGATGTTTTTAATCAATCTGTTCAGCGATGTTATTGCACACCTCTGGAGCAGGCAGGACTTCACCCTGGGCCTCCTGACTCAGAGGTGGAGACATTACCATTGCAGCACAGTAGCCCTTGGGCAACGAGGATATATTACATGTGATTATAATGTGATATGGGCAAATTAGCGAGAAGTGGTGAAAGCAGAAAGCGGTAATCAGTGACTGACTGAGTACAACTGGTAAAACAGTGATCTCATGCAATGCTGTATCAGTTTTAATATTTTATTCTGGAATATTTTATGCTGAAACTGATTGCAATGCAGAAGTAGGTCAGTTGTTGGCTTCAGTGATCGTTTTATAGTTCAGTTTTAGATAGTAATTAGGGTCAAAGCCAAAAATAACAATGTGTTTATACAGTGTTTCAGATGAGCAAACTTTCAATCTGTAAGAACCCTGGGGACAACGATGTGGGAGGTGGAGCTGGAGAATAAGAGAAAATTCTAATGTTTCAACAGCCATGTCAAGTAGTGTGGAAAGTAAATGTATCCCTTTGAGACTCAGAACAAGTAAGAAGACAAATATAGAATGAGAAAATTCGTATTGCCTGAATAAGGAGGTCAAAAAATTCCAAAAGACAAAGCAGCAATACTTTGAAGGAAGAACAGGCAAATAACAAGCGATGAGGAGAGGGAATCGTGCAAGACTCAGTTTTAAGGTAAAATCAAATGCATTTTTCAAAGGGTATTGGGGAGCAAATTGTAAAAAAAGGAGCATGAGAAATTCAAGGATATCATTTCTGAAGAATAGTCACATCAGGCTGGAAAGCAGATGTTGTGAGACTTGCTGAATTTCTTTGGCCATTCTCAATGTCTGATTCAGATTTCCAGCATCTGCAGTATTTTGCTGTACATCATTATATTGTGCGGGTTGATGATTAGTTGAAATGGTATTGTCCGAGTCAACTTATGGCCAGTGTTCCACGGTCCAGTTTCTCTCAGAAAGTGGCGCATCCATTTACTCGGGATGGTTTATGCAAATTTGCAACACATCGACCATAAGTCGGAGCAAATGGTGGGTAACATTATCGGTGCACAAAGCCCTTTCTGTAATCACAGATGCCTCTTTACATCCTCAGGATGCCTCCTCTTGTGTCTTCTGAACTTAACAATTCACACATTCGAGTTCAGTTTTAATTACACCGTGTATATCCAAATCAGTGCTGTAGCCATTGGGATCCCTTCAATCCAGCCCTCACTAACATTTTCATCAGCTTCCATGAGAAACGCTTTTAATCCTAACCCCCTGCGTAATTCGAGTAGCAAGATAATACATTCTCCATATTTGAATCATGTTAGGATTTCATTACACTCCATCCCACACTCAAATTCACTTTTGAGATGAAGTAGCTCCCCATTGTTCTTGTGGATAATTGAATGGCCATTGGCAGGATAATAATAACCACAATACCCTCGGCATGCAGGAGTAAATGAGCATGGCAGGAAACTGCCACTGGTGCCCATGATAGCTAGGCCTGAGGCATTGGAGAGGTACCAAGAGATTCTGAGTTGGCGAGACCCTGTGTTTCGTTGCAGAGTCTGGGCAGATGAATTCTGGTCTTCCTGGTCAACAGAGGCCTTTCTTTAAAACAAAAGAACAAACATACCATTTTGGCCTCTCACTACGCCTGCCTTTTCTTGACATCTGACAATCCTGGCAAGAGTCCCAGAATCATGACGTTGTCGAAGGTGGCCATTCAGCCCATTATTTATTATCTAGGCAAGGCCCTGGCATTGGATACTGGTCATTGGGCTCTGTGTTAAAAATGGCATTGTGGACTGAGGTACATCACCAGACCCTCACCGCTCAGTTTAACTAAGATAATTCTCACCCTGCAGCCTGTAAAATAGGCCCCAAACATCCCCGAAAGCAAGGGGGATTTCATAGATTGACACAATACTATTGCAGCATATAGTTGCGTCTGTTTTAACCTTTGGCCGGATCCATTCTCATTGCTCATGTGAATGGTTACAGTCGGTTCTCATCACCCATAGCACTGAACTGTGAACTTCTTTCCAATGGCACTAAGCAGGAATAGGTCCTTTATGGTTGACACTGTTGCTAACTGTTTTTTTCACTTCCAGGACATTTTTTTGCTCCATTTCAATGAGGTGCAAAGTAACCCTGCTCATTTTTTGAAGAAAGCCTAATTACTATAGCAGTTCAGCATTTCAGACACAGATCCATGAGGACATCACACAGTGGATGAGCTGCAGACTATATGGTTGACGCTGCTACCACACATTATTGCTATGACAACACCTCTAGTAATTATTTTGGTGCTCCACGTAGCCACTGAGATGAGTATGGAGTGTGGGTGTGTGTTTAGGATGGGGTTAGGTAGAAATACTCAGTGAAGGGGATTCAGTGAGGATTTCTTTAAATACACTGACATTGAAAATCAATCTTCTTTTAAACAGTTTCCTCCAATTCTATGAGAAAATCCGCAGAGGTTTGCTATGCGCAACAACCTAAGGCACTTTATTGAAGTTTATCCCAGGCTACTTACATCTGGTCATTCATTTTTGTGAATTTGGTGTTGCGTTTTTTTGCGAAGAAAAAGTTCTCTGGTTGATAATTAAGTCTTTTTCCATCCTTAAATTAGCAAATAGTGGAAAGCTTAGGCCAGCGGTATCAATCTCAAATGGTTTTACTTGCCGAAGGCCATATTTAACTTACTTTTGGAGGCCTTCAGGACTACGTTAATGTATCTTAATCTTTCCATTTAGCTGATATCTGGAGAACTTTCCCAAGTGACAGACTTGGAATAGATTCAACTGCCACCACACAGATGATGTGCAGCCATTTAAAATGGTTAAGGATCCAAGTGGGTCAATGTTGCAACCCCACATCTCTTTCTGTAGATAAGGAGACCAAAACGGCACACAATACCCCAGGTACAATCTCACCAATACAACTACAGCAAGCTATCTCTATTATTGTATACAAATTCTCTTGTACTGAAGGACAGCATACCCTTTGTATTTCTAATTGCTTGCTATACACACATGTTAGCTTTCACATGAACAAGGGCACCCAAGTCCCTTTGAAATTCAACACATTCTACCCTGTCACTATTTATGACATATAACTTATTTCCATTTTCCTTTCAAGATGTATAAGGTCACATTTCTCCACATTGTGGACTACCTGCCAAATTCTTGCCCAATCAATTCAAATGCCCTTGAAGCATGTTTCCATCTTCCTTGCACCTTCACTTCCACCTAGATTCACACTATCAGCAAACTTGGAAATTATACCTTTAATCCTCACATCTAGATCATTGATACACATTGTGTATAGCTTGGTCCAAGCATTAATCCTTGTGCTACTTCATGAGTCTCAACCTGCATACCTCAAAATGGCCCATTTATTCCTAAATTAAAACCCAAATGATCTGTGGATGCTGGAAATCAGAAACAAAAGCAGAAATTGTTGGAAAAGCTCAGCAGGTCTGGCAGCATCTGTGGAGAGAAATGGACAGTTAACATTTCAGGTCCAGTAACGCTTCTTCAGAACCCTTCCATTTTTCTGACATTGTGTTTTCTGTCCAATAACCAGTTTGTAATCCATGCCAGTAAAGTCCCTTCCCAACCCCAGACCCAACCACACGTGCCCTGATTTTATTTACTAAACTCTTAATTGGAGCCTTGTCAAAAGCTTTCTGAAACTCTAAATGTGCCCCATCCACTGTTCCCATTGGCTGGTTAGATCTTCGAACAAGTCCAACAGGTTTGTTAACCATCATTTCCGTTTCTTAAATCAATGTTCACCAATGTTCCTTCTAAGCCGCACGTCAATTGGGTGTAGCGTTGACTTTCGGTTCCAGACGTTCCTACTACACATGGGCCTGAGACGTCCAAGTAGCTAGTAGTAAAATTAGAGGGAACGCTAATATTGACTGGGCTCATTCTGACTACTGTTCTGTGGCTGTCTTGTTACCACATCCTTTTCTATAAACAATATAATGTTTGTTATAAATTTAATGTAACTTGCTTGCTATTTATACTCTGTACTCCTGTTAACAAGGCCAGAGATGCTGTGTCCGTTATTAACCATGCTGTTGACCTCTGGTGTCACCTTCAATGATTCATTCACATCGACACCCAGGCCATGCTGTTCTTGCACTCCCTTTCGAATTGTAGCCTTTATTTTATGTTGTCTCTCCATATTCTTCCTATCAAAATGAATCACTTTGAACTACAATAATCTTATTCAAACACATACATCTCTGTGGAGACTCAACAAGGTAGATTGCTGCAAGGATGTTTCCTCTGGTGGGAGAAACTAGGCGATGCTGTTTAAAAGTGAAATTATGTAAGGAGTTTTTTTTCTCCCAGTGAGTAATGTATCTTTGTGGAATGGTTTTCCCAAGAAAACAGTTGAGGCAAGGTTTAAAAGTGTGCCATATACTCCCAAGGTCAAGGCATATCACAAGATGAACAAGGGTCCAAATTCTAAACTCTGGATAACTTCATGATAAACCTTGGTGCAATCCAAAAATTAGATTAAGCATCACTGTGGTTTCTGTCCCTCCTTCCTGCCACTTGCATATCCATTTTGCTACAAACCGTTTTATTTCAGGAGTCGTAGCGTTGTGCACAAGCCTATCATGATGTGTGTTAGAGACCAGACCAGAACTCTTCAAAATACTTTAAGAAGGTAGCCTAGACCATAACTTTTTCCTATTTTAAAGGTAGGTGTGAAGTGCCATATTCAGGGCGACTGATCAAACCACTCAACATTAAGCAAAACACAACTTTTCTAAACACTGCAGTTAAAATACAATCAAAAAAAGAAGAATTTAGAATAACTTAATTATTGGAAAAGTTAACCGCATAATAGATACCGTACCTTTACTAATTAACTGTTCCAATATAGTAATATCCCGTAAATACACCCCTTGGCAAAAAGGCAAATTCAGACACAGATTCTTACATGCAGTTCTCCAATCCAGGAGGAAACATCAAGAAAAAATTAAGAGAGTGTAGCAGCCAAGAGGTATTCACTAAAGCTTCCAACTCTTTTGAGACCCCAAACCGCTTATGCTGTTACCGAAAACACCAAAACGCAGAAATCTGGATCTATGAGAGCTGACCACACCCATTCAGACTGCTTCCATTGTTCCAGCTTAAAAATAAACCTGAAGACTTC